TAAAAATACTCAGCGATACTACACAACAAAACGTCTAATAAGATATATTTACTCCAAAAGTTATTTGACACGAATAACTGAAAGCTGAGCAACTGAACTTTCGACACGTTTCTCGAACACCGTCCTCGGTTTGATGCACGAGAAACTTGCCTTTTAATGGTCAGATGGCGACTTCTACAAAACCAAAGCACGAATCGAAGAAAACATGACTGAACAGACTGATATAAGTACGTAGGTACATGCACACAAGAGCTATGAGAAATGTATGATATCCTTACATCAACCATAACTTGGACTTCTCGATTTGTGTCTAGATATTTCCACGATCAGTTTTCATTTTAAAAGTTTAAAAAAGTAAGTTGACAGGGAGCACTTACTATCCTTTGCTTATGACTTCTAGCGGGTGGTATGGGCTGCTTCTGCATACCGGCACCAAAACCTATGTACCAACAACTCCTAACTACATGTACAAGGTGAGTGGGGTAGCCCTGCAGCCATGTTGAAAACGCCTCTCTTCCTTACACTGAAGGACTGGGAACTAAGTGTGAATAGACCAATCAAAACAGAGCTTAAAATAGCGCCCTAAGTAAAAGTCAAGAAATACTAGAGGTTTAGCACAGCAGCCATGTTGGATGGCAGGAACAATAGCAGACCTCTCAACCTCAAGACACCAAAAATCTGGAGACTGATGTAAAAAAATCTGGAGATTTCAGTAAAAATCTGGAGATTGGACGACCGGCAGACAAAACTATGTAAACACAGGTTCTTAAATTAAGAGAAAGTGTTTTTTGTCCTGCTCATAATTTACGTGGACCTTAACACAGTCAGAAATAAACTTTAAATATAATATTCATCAGGTTCATCAATTGCCGCCTTTTGATAACGTGTCGTGTCAAAATGCGAGAGACTGGTTATGATGAACTAATTTGGAAACAGGTGTTCTATATATGGTCATGGACGACTCACGGTGTTTCCTGGTTTGTTATACACCACTTTCATAAAGGGCCGCCGGATTCATATTCTTTTGTTTAAATTCAAATTAGCCTCACTAGCCTCGCTTGAGATAATGTATTCTTTTGAATTTTGAACTGGAGAACGAGGTCAGAAAGGCTAATTTAAATTTAAACAAAAGAATGTTAATCCGGCAGCCATTTATGAAAGTGGTCAATAGTATGTTAATAGAAACAATTACACTGAACAACAGAGGGAGGTAAAATAGAAACACGCATGTCAGATAAACTGATGGGCAAATTAATGAAATATTTACTCACTGTCCTCATCCGTAAAACACCTTACAATTTCGCTGAAATTTCCACGGCCATTTGTAATGAAGATAGTCACCCTGATGTCGTATTCCGTGTATTTCTCCAGGGATTTTATGGTAGCACTCAAAGTTCTGTTGCATGCAAGCAAAGTGCTCCACAGCTCAGTTGCAAGGCCATGGGGCCTGAAATGTAAGTCATAACCAATGATTTCCAAGCTGTTGACTTCGACAGACGGTGGTGCCCAATGAACTTCGATACTAGTGGAACTGGTATTGCGGCATGTCACATTGGTCGGTGCTAAGCGCATTACTGAAAGGAAGCATGCAAAAAGGAATTTTTAAATACCTGCTAAACCCAGTTTTAAGAGGCAGATTACGCTATCCCCGGATAAGTTTTCAACAAACTGGTGCCGGATATAGATTAAAGTATAGTGGATAGGGTTATCTACACTTGGCACAAGCGGGCCCTGACCGTCAGGCAACGCGGTTCTAGAGGTTTGATAATGTCAGCCAAAATCTTGAATGTCCCGGCCATCATACCACAGCTGATACGTTCCCTTTCTTATCTGCGCTTCACAGAAGGTGACCTTCATAGAAGGTGATCTCTCTGTTATTTTTTAATTCTTCCTGAGGAACTCTTTCCTTATTATAACCTTTGGAATATATCAAAACTACCCTGAATAGAGAAGTTTTTGTTGTTAGCTGATGAACTTGGTGTCTACCCTTAACAAAGTGAACCTCTGGGGATCTTCCCTTTTACATCTTGTGCAAGTAGGAATTAATCCCACGAGTTTAATCATATGAAAGGTTTTTGGCGTCTATTATTTATGATTTGAAGACAGACTCTGATATTCTTCCGTGCATGATCTTAAAGAGAAGGTCACGAGAAAAAGATACAGTGTGCTCATAAATGTTTGTAAATTAGGTAGCACTTCGTAAGGAAAGGCTTTTGGAAGAGGGACGTTCCCTCTCAAATAGGGGATATTGTAGAGGGGGGGAGAGAATGGATCTCTAAGGGGTGGAAGAGAAAGGGGTTGAAGAGAAAGGGGTTGACAGTGTGTCATTTTCGAAAAATTGTTGGTTCCTCGGGAGAGGGGAAGAGACGAAACTCCGGTTAGCTATCTATTATCGCATGTTTTACACGTGTTGGGGGAATGATTGCTAGCTCTATTGACGCAGACGAGAACTTAATTTTGCAACGTTTTTTAATTTAGGGTTTGAAAGATACTAATTCGTTCCGCAAAGAGCTTGCCATAGAACAGTCCAGGTGTACTTACCTATCTCTGTCGTGAAGTATTTAACATCACTCGCGTTTCCCACATCTTTTCGAAGGATACGCTGTACATAAAACTTATACTTCATGGACGATTCAAGACTACAGATCTCCACCCGATGAGTCGATGAATTCACTGTCGTGTTCAAAGAAAAAGTGGGGTGGCTGAACAAGGCGTAGAACACACGATAGCCATCAAATGCAGCAAGTTTCTCTGGTGGAAGGCCACCCCACTTGATTTGAACGCAATTTGACGTCACCCGTTCTACTGATATATCTTCAGGCGGATCATCTACGTATACGAAATATGAATTAATTTTTTTAAAAAAAGAAAACCCTGTCTTTGTATACTTCGAGTTTTATATCAGGCATAGCACAATTTTTCGTTTTTTGAAAGGATACATTGAAATACGAATCATTCAAACCATTTATGGTGAGGGAATCGAATGCTATAATCAGTGGTTCTAACCAGTGCTATAACCATACGTATGTAAACAACAGTAGACAATAACCACTAACTCCTCTCTTTGACCCATTATACCCTAGCATTAGAATTCACATTCTCGACTCTGTTGTATTAACATTTCCCAGGGTTTTGACAAGGGGGATATGTTGGACTGTCAGGAGGTGAGCTTCTTAAAAATTGGTAATCATTATACTTTTAATTTTTGTACTAGATTATAAGGTGATAATTTAAGGAGAAATTTGTAGCAAGTCATTCTTAGTTAAAGGGTTAGAGCCAGTCAAAATAGCGAAATATATAATGAAAAATAATTGGGCAAGGCTAATTTGATTAATAGCGGAGCAAAGAGGGCGCGCAGCACGTACTGCGACGCCCCATACTAATTACTGTACCTAAAGGGGTGGTTACAGAGAAGCTCTCGCTTTCCCTTCCAACTCCACTTAGTGTGTATCCAGCCACAGTCAGGTTATACGTTACCAATGATTCCAGTCCTTTTATAGTGACGAAGTTAACGAGGTCATTTACGGTCACCGTGGTAACTATGACGTCTGCCCTTCCCACTGATCTAATGAAAACCTTATAGCCCTGGAATATGGCGGAAATACTCGGCGGAAGGCTGAGACTGTTCCATCTGATATGAATGCTTGTATCTTCCACACGAAGCACACTTATATTTGTGGGAGCAACTTCTGGAACTGAAGGAAGAAAATGTAAACGAGAATGTTACTGTTGATTATAATTTCGACACATTTTTGCCACGATGAATTGAACGGTCCTGATTGGTCTTTTTATGAATATAGTATGCGTAATCCGAGTCAAACGTTTGTGAACAGTCCCTAATTTTTCCCTGCTTTCCAATAATGATTTATATGTGGTCTCATCTTAACTAAAAGATATGATGGCGTGCTATCGCTTTTAGGATCAAATTACTTTAATTCCAGTTACTCGAATTATTTGTATTCGAGTGTAGCTAGCAATCTAACATTGCATCGGTTTCTCTTAAGCCGATTGCAGTAGCTGGTTTGGTCAAGAAAACTTGCACTACCGTCTCGATCAGTCAGTTGCACTATTAAAGCCAACTGCAAGGTAGCAAGTTTCTTGCATTTTCCTGGTCCAATAAGTTTTTATTTTGAATCCTCTATTGCCCGTTGTCATCTCTTTCCTTTCTGTATTTGTTTGCCGGAACATTTTCATTAGTTGTAATTTAAAACACTCAAAATGCTGCAAAATGTGCATCAATCTAAGCTATTCTCCATGAAATAACAAGCGGCAAGTAGAACTAGATAGCTTCGAAGCGTTAAGCATAAGCGCATTCAGACCCTCTTGTTCTGGAGTAAAATTTGATAGGAGTATTGAACTGACCAAATAAAGTGACTGTTTACCATTTTCAGCTGTAAATTCTTCCACCTCTAGAGGCATGTTGTATAGAAAACCCGTGGATGATATGTTCTGTTGAAGTCTTTCAATCAATTTGTAGTCGCTAACGTTGTAAATGATAGTGAAATCTGCAATCACGCTTCCGTTCCTACATGGAAAAACGTAAAAGAGAAATTTTGAGTGATACGAAGAAAGACAGAAAAACCGCATGAGCACATATTAAATACAAATATCATACATTCTGGATTTAGCATCACCCCTATCCTAGCCAGTGGACCCCTTCTATGGGCCCAAATTGGGACCAGCATCCACTAGGGTAGAACACTTAGGTCGAGTGCAGACTTTACCTCTTCAACCTATCCAAGCCGGCGGAAACCCTTTTATTGGTCAATCTTAAATGGGTGCCCCTTCAAATTAGTAATCAGAATACACTTGCACATACAGTGTAGAGTTACCTACCTAAACTCATTCACGGTAACAGTAACTCGGATTCCCTCATAAAACCTGGTGACCTAATTAACAACAAATAAAATAAGAAAATCAATACAGATAAAGTAAACCATGCATTGTGTAATTATTCAAATGAGCGGCAATGCGCAGTATTTTCATCTGTTGCGTACTATTTGCTATACTCTGCAAGATGGTCATAACTCTAAAATCTGTGGATAAACCTGGGGCGATAACCATTCAAATAAAAGCTAAATAACAACACTTTTATGAGGGACAATACTTAAAGATCCTCAGGTTAGAATGAAGCGGTGGTTTGTTCAACTTACATTGCTTATTATCTCATTTGTCATTGCTCTGTATGGATCCGTTTCTGGTGAAGTAAGATCTTCATTCCAAAGCTGATTTTTTATTCGAGCCACAACTCGGCAACGTAAGGGAACCGAACCTGCAATGAATTTTGGTAGAGGAGTTTTTAATAATGGACATTGGGAATATAGGGAATAATTTTTTGCCACGTCTGGGTTTACTAAAATGGAAACTTCATGGTGACTGAATATTGGTAGCAAATCTTTCGTCACAACTGCCTCATTCCTTAAAAGGTAAGTTTTCTGTATGGATCCATACAATGTTATGATTTAGATAGCATAGAATTATTATGTTTTTTCTCTCTTTATGTCTGTATTGTTTTGATTTTTTTTTTTTTCAGGAAAGGACTGATTTGCTTGCACCCGAAATCGTTCTATGCTCGAGGGGTTCATTAGAAAAGGACTTAAGCACACCAAAGCCGCAATTAAGGTAACAAAAAAAGGATCGCGGGGGCTAATGAAAGAGAAAGGGAAGGGTGTAATTTCTGGGGTCAAAGATAAAAAAAAATGTTCACTTTGTTATGGTGTGTTAATGGGTTTCTGCATAACAATTTATATAATTTTACATTTTGATAAAAAAGGAGAAATAAATGAAACATTTTTCTATGATTTCCTCATTTTTGATGCAATGTCAGAAATGAAAATTAAGATACATTGAATACGAATTTCAGCAACGATATTAAAGACATGACAAAGCTGATCGAGTGCGTGTCATGCAAGTGACCTCATAATAATTTTCTTCCTAAAAAACACTTGAAAAGCAGTGGGAGCCGTGATCGTATAGTGGTTAGTACATTGCGTTGTGGCCGCAATAATCCAGGTTTGAATCCTGGTGACGGCACTTCTTGTTCTTTTTATTTTATTAACACCCCACAAGGTTTTAAACCTACAGCTCAAGTGCTGTGACCAGGATTTGAGCTCATAATAATTTTCTTCCTGGATTTACCCGCGAGGAACAGTGGCAGCTGTGGTCGTATAGTGGTAAGTACATTGCGTTGTGGCCGCAATAACCTAGGTTCGAATCCTGGTCACGGCACTTCTTTTTCTTTTTATTTTATTCACACCCCACATGATATTAAACTTATAAATATTCCCTCTAATGTTGTTTATAGATGTAGGGTATAGTGTCTGGTTTGTTGTCTTTTTTCTACAATAAACCCAGAACTCCTTTTTGGTAAAGTATTTTTTAATACTAAAAGTCAAAGGTCAAAGAAAATGATGCGCACTTGCGCTGTAATTCATAATCAAAAAGGAATGTCTCAGCGTTTGTTTTACAAATTTTTCCCAGAAATGTGCAGATAGAAAACCCCGAAGATAGAACAAAATAAAAAGAAACATGAAAAATTGAAGCAAAAAAAAAAAAAAAAGAAAATATGACTACAGCTCAAGTGCCGTGACCAGGATTTGAGATTATAATAATTTTCTTCCTGAAATCACCTGTGAGAAGCAGTGGCAGCCGTGATCGTATAGTGGTTAGTACATTGCGTTGTGGCCGCAATAACCCAGGTTCAAATCCTGGTCACGGCACTTCTTGTTCTTTTTATTTTACACTCCACGTGATATTAAACCTTCGAGATATTCCCTCTAAAGTTGTTTATAGATGTAGGGTACAGTTTCTGGTTTGTTGTTGTTTTTTTTTGTAAAAAGAAAATTAAAAGCAGCACAGGGATAAAAGATAGAAAACACCAAAGATAGAAAACACCAAAGACAGAACAAAAAAAAGTAACATGAAAAATTAAAGCCTAAAAAAGGAAAGACAAAAACTACTACAGATCATTTGCTGTGACCAGGATTCGAACCTGGGTTATTGCGGCCACAACGCAATGTACTAACCACTATACGATCACGGCTGCCACTGTTGCGCACAGTTACTTTAATTGTAGAAAATTATTATATTATAAATTGTATGACACACACTTGTGCTCATAAATAGTCATAGTATTCCCTATCATTCAAAGAAAAAAATCAGCGTTATTCGATAGCACAAAAATAAAATGAAGAAATGAATTGAAAAAAGAAATTTTTTTTTGAAATAACATGGAGGATTTACTGGGGCAGACACCACACTCTCTCACCTTGGATGCCGCGATATATCTGCGTTATTCTTTCTTCAGACAAAACCTGTCCCCAAATGGCAATGAGATAATAATGAGCTTTAGCGAACAATCCTCCTTCAGAGCCCAATGACATACTGGTAGACGAAAATTCTGGTTCCCCGTCCACTTCACAACCTTCATCTCTGATAAATTTGTCGATTTTTCTTCCGTTTCTATAAACTGTGAGTGTTCTTGGCTGAGATGGTTGGTACGTGAAAGCCAAATGAGACCAGATTTTTTCAGGCATCGCTATTTCTTTCAGACAGTACTTAGCACTGCGTCGCACACGGATAATTAAGGATTTTTTCTGTCTTTCCTGGTAAACAACAAACTTGCCGCGGGATTTGAAAAAAGTCTGCCGTTCACCGCCGGCTTTGTACGAAGGCTTTAGTGACAACGATACGGTGAAACCAGAGTCGTCACAATGGGCCTCAGCAGATTTCGTCGCACATGTGTCCCCCTCGTGGTTCAATATTACCTCACCGTTGACACCATCTGTCACCAAGCCATCTCCAAAGGAACTCACCCCTCCCTTACTTTGCCCCCAGCCAGGGGTGCGGAGATCTTTGATATCGTCCATTGATTCCAGTAACCAAAAATGCGAAGAGTCCTCATAAAACTTTACTAAAACATAAAGATAAATTGAATATAAATTTCAGCAACGGTATTTAAGACATGATAAAGTTCATCGAGTGCGTTTCATGCGAGTGATACGATAATAGTTTTCTTCCTGGATTTACCAGTGAGGAACAGTGGCAGCCGTGATCGTATAGTGTTAAGTACATTGCGTTGTGGCCGCAATAACACAGGTTCGAATCCTGGTCACGGCACTTTTAGTTTTAATTTTATTTTATTAACACCCCACATGATATCAAACCTTCAAAATATTCCATCTAAAGTTGTTTATAGATGTGGGGTATAGTGTCTGGTTTGTTGTTTTTTTTTTCTCTAATCAACCCAGAACTCTTTTTTGGTAAAGTAGTTATTAATACTAAAAGTCAAAGGTCAAAGAAAATGGTGCGCGCGTGCGCTGTAATTCATAATAAAAAAGGAATGTCACAGCAGTTTGTTTTACAAATTTTTCCCAAAAATGTGTAATATTAATAATAATGTATATGTGCACGATCCTTCGCAGTAAAGCACTATTTAAGCAATAGTGAAAATCAGACCTGAAAAAAATTCAGGCCTGCACGGGATTCGAACCACTGACCTCTGCGATACTAGTGTAGCGCTCTACCAATTGAGCTAACAAGCCAACTGGGAGCAGACCATCAAATTAATTCGACATAAACCCGTAGATGATAAATCAAACAACAAACATATGAAATACATATATATGAACTGCGGTTATGAAACGTATATGTGCACGATCCTTCGCAGTAAAGCACTATTTAAGCAATAGTGAAAATCAGACCTGAAAAAAATTCAGGCCTGCACGGGATTCGAACCACTGACCTCTGCGATACTAGTGCAGCGCTCTACCAATTGAGCTAACAAGCCAACTGGGAGCAGGCCATCAAATTAATTCGACATAAACCCGTAGATGATAAATCAAACAACAAACATATGAAATACATATATATGAACTGCGGTTATGAAACGTATATGTGCACGATCCTTCGCAGTAAAGCACTATTTAAGCAATAGTGAAAATCAGACCTGAAAAAAATTCAGGCCTG